CTTGTCCAGCGAAGCCTCAGTGTTGTCTGCCTGTTGCTGGTGTTGCTGTTGCTGTTCTGACTTCCATTCTGATTGGTCCCGGAGCTGGTGATGTTGCCCAATGGCGAGGCGGCGGCAGGAGTATATTGGGTGTCACAAGCTTGCCATGGAAGGCAATAACCCGCTGCATCATGCCCTTGCTAGAGGCACCACCTAAGGCAACTAACGCTTCTGGGGCAGGCCACCGAAATGGTCCTGGTAACTAAGCTTCTGCTGCGGTGGCTCCGGGTCATGTTGTAGCAGTTGTGTTGCTCTGCGAGGAGGCCGAGATGCCAGAGTCATCCGAATGCTGGCCATCGAGGCTCTCCTCCTTGGCGCTGTTCACGCTAGAGGCCAGCGAGGGTGTGTTGGATAGCTCATCAATGGGCAGCAGGAGAGTAGTGGTCTGCACTGCCGCCGGCCGGGCTGTGACTAGCACGCCCTGGACATGATCCAGCTTATCCCGATCCTGTAGCTGCTTTTGAGTGCATTCACCATAGCCCAAAACAAAGCAGTGCTCCACCTCAGAGTCCTCATCGTCATCGTCGTCCGCATCGGCCTCGTCTGTGCTGGCTGGCTGGAAACGTAAAAAACGTAAGATGATAAGAGGACGATTCTTTAAAGCCTTGTCTTGTACTCACAGCTTGTCCAGCGAAGCCTTCAGTGTGTTCTGCCTGCCCGTCTCGCGCGACTTGAGGTCCTGAAGCTCCCGCTGGATCTTCCGCTAGACGGGCACATAGCCTCGACGCAAAGGCCTGCCCTCCGAGTCCCGCAGGGGAATATTGGGTGTCACCAGCTTGCCATGGAGGCTATAAGCCGCTGAATCACGCCCTTGGTAGGGCAGGCCGCTCAGCTGCGGCATGGAAATGATTCTGGTCTGCAGCGGCGGCTCCGGTGTCATGTTGGAGCAGTTGGGTCCAATGTAACGCTGTTCCTGGCGGGTGACCACAGTCAGCTTGAGCGGCTGCTGCTGCTTGGCTTCGAGGTTGTTGTTGCTCTGCGAGGAGGCCGAGATGCCAGAGTCATTCGACTGTGGATCATCGAGAAACTTCACCTTGGCGCTGTTCACGCTAGAGGCCAGCGAGGGTGTATTGGAGAGCTCATCAATGGGCAGCAGGAGAGTAGTGGTCTGCACTGCCGCCGGCCGGCTGTGACTAGCACGCCCTGGACATGATCCAGCTTATCCCGATCCTGTAGCTGCTTTTGAGTGCATTCACCATAACCTAAAACGTTGGATGTCAAAGCTGCACATGGTTCCATGCCAGCAATCGATAGTCAAAGCTGCGTATGGTTATTCAGCAATCGATAGTCAATGCTGCAATGCTGCACATCGTCACTGATCGTCGCTGTTGCACATGGCTGCAGGCAACCAGCTGAAAGTCAAAGCGGTCACACTTCGATGTAAAAGTAGCGAAACATGAGTTGGTCACACGTGAAAAAGCTTGTGATAATGGATATGGACTCACCTTTTTTACAAGCAGTATATGGCCGCCTTAATAAACGTCCTGGCTTTGCATTTTCTTGATCAGGCTTTCTCACTGGGCAATGAGGTCTCGCGATGAGGGCGCCTCCTTGGGTGTCAGATCACACAGCTGGTCCAGCGACTGGCCGGACGCATCTTATTAATGCTGCCATTGCTGGCTCCATTGGCGTACGATCTCCGGTTCGTTGCTGTTGATATAAGAATGAAAATTCAATGAGAATCAAACTTCTTTAAGTAGGTTATCTAACACTTGCCCATTTCTATCCAACTCCTGGGTGGACTAGCATTGCGCAGTTTTCCGGTCCATAGCAGTGCTCCACCTCAGAGTGCTGAGTTGGCTGGAGAGGAAAACTGTAAGATGATAAGAGACGATTCTTAAAGCCTTGTCCTGTACTCGCAGCTTGTCCAGCGAAGCCTTCAGTGTGTTCTGCCTGCCCGTCTCGCGCGACTTGAGTCCTGAAGCTCCCGCTGGACTTCCGCTAGACGGGCACATAGCCTCGACGCAAAGGCCTGCCCTCCGAGTCCCGCAGGGGAATATTGGGTGTCACCAGCTTGCCATGGGAGGCTATAAGCCGCTGAATCACGCCCTTGGTAGGGCAGGCCGCTCAGCTGCGGCATGGAAATGGTTCTGGTCTGCAGCGGCGGCTCCGGTGTCATGTTGGAGCAGTTGGGTCCAATGTAACGCTGTTCCTGGCGGGTGACCACAGTCAGCTTGAGCGGCTGCTGCTGCTTGGCTTCGAGGTTGTTGTTGCTCTGCGAGGAGGCCGAGATGCCAGAGTCATTCGACTGTGGATCATCGAGAACTTCACCTTGGCGCTGTTCACGCTAGAGGCCAGCGAGGGTGTATTGGAGAGCTCATCAATGGGCAGCAGGAGAGTAGTGGTCTGCACTGCCGCCGGCCGGGCTGTGACTAGCACGCCCTGGACATGATCCAGCTTATCCCGATCCTGTAGCTGCTTTTGAGTGCATTCACCATAACCTAAAACGTTGGATGTCAAAGCTGCACATGGTTCCATGCCAGCAATCGATAGTCAAAGCTGCGTATGGTTATTCAGCAATCGATAGTCAATGCTGCAATGCTGCACATCGTCACTGATCGTCGCTGTTGCACATGGCTGCAGGCAACCAGCTGAAAGTCAAAGCGGTCACACTTCGATGTAAAAGTAGCGAAACATGAGTTGCCACACTGAAAAAGCTTGTGATAATGGATATGGACTCACCTTTTTTACAAGCAGTATATGGCCGCCTTAATAAAAGTCCTGGCTTTGCATTTTTCTTGATCAGGCTTTCTCACTGGGCAATGAGGTCTCGCGATGAGGGCGCCTCCTTGGGTGTCAGATCACACAGCTGGGCCAGCGACTTGGCCGGACGCATCTTATTAATGCTGCCATTGCTGGCTCCATTGGCGTACGATCTCCGGTTCGTTGCTGTTGATATAAGAATGAAAATTCAATGAGAATCAAACTTCTTTAAGTAGGTTATCTAACACTTGCCCATTTCTATCCAACTCCTGGGTGGACTAAGCATTGCGCAGTTTTCCGGATCCATAGCAGTGCTCCACCTCAGAGTGCTGAGTTGGCTGGAGAGGAAAACTGTAAGATGATAAGAGTACGATTCTTAAAAGCCTTGTCCTGTACTCGCAGCTTGTCCAGCGAAGCCTTCAGTGTTGTCTGCCTGTTGCTGGTGTTGCTGTTGCTGTTCTGACTTCCATTCTGATTGGTCCCGGAGCTGGTGATGTTGCCCAATGGCGAGGCGGCGGCAGGAGTATATTGGGTGTCACAAGCTTGCCATGGAAGGCAATAACCCGCTGCATCATGCCCTTGCTAGAGGCACCACCTAAGGCAAACTAACGCTTCTGGGGCAGGCCACCGAAATGGTCCTGGTAACTAAGCTTCTGCTGCGGTGGCTCCGGTGTCATGTTGTAGCAGTTGTGTTGCTCTGCGAGGAGGCCGAGATGCCAGAGTCATCCGAATGCTGGCCATCGAGGCTCTCCTCCTTGGCGCTGTTCACGCTAGAGGCCAGCGAGGGTGTGTTGGATAGCTCATCAATGGGCAGCAGGAGAGTAGTGGTCTGCACTGCCGCCGGCCGGGCTGTGACTAGCACGCCCTGGACATGATCCAGCTTATCCCGATCCTGTAGCTGCTTTTGAGTGCATTCACCATAGCCCAAAACAAAGCAGTGCTCCACCTCAGAGTCCTCATCGTCATCGTCGTCCGCATCGGCCTCGTCTGTGCTGAGCTGGCTGGAAACGTAAAAAACGTAAGATGATAAGAGGACGATTCTTTAAAGCCTTGTCTTGTACTCACAGCTTGTCCAGCGAAGCCTTCAGTGTGTTCTGCCTGCCCGTCTCGCGCGACTTGAGGTCCTGAAGCTCCCGCTGGATCTTCCGCTAGACGGGCACATAGCCTCGACGCAAAGGCCTGCCCTCCGAGTCCCGCAGGGGAATATTGGGTGTCACCAGCTTGCCATGGGAGGCTATAAGCCGCTGAATCACGCCCTTGGTAGGGCAGGCCGCTCAGCTGCGGCATGGAAATGATTCTGGTCTGCAGCGGCGGCTCCGGTGTCATGTTGGAGCAGTTGGGTCCAATGTAACGCTGTTCCTGGCGGGTGACCACAGTCAGCTTGAGCGGCTGCTGCTGCTTGGCTTCGAGGTTGTTGTTGCTCTGCGAGGAGGCCGAGATGCCAGAGTCATCCGAATGCGAATCATCGAGGAACTTCACCTTGGCGCTGTTCACGCTAGAGGCCAGCGAGGGTGTATTGGAGAGCTCATCAATGGGCAGCAGGAGAGTAGTGGTCTGCACTGCCGCCGGCCGGGCTGTGACTAGCACGCCCTGGACATGATCCAGCTTATCCCGATCCTGTAGCTGCTTTTGAGTGCATTCACCATAACCTAAAACGTTGGATGTCAAAGCTGCACATGGTTCCATGCCAGCAATCGATAGTCAAAGCTGCGTATGGTTATTCAGCAATCGATAGTCAATGCTGCAATGCTGCACATCGTCACTGATCGTCGCTGTTGCACATGGCTGCAGGCAACCAGCTGAAAGTCAAAGCGGTCACACTTCGATGTAAAAGTAGCGAAACATGAGTTGGTCACACGTGAAAAAGCTTGTGATAATGGATATGGACTCACCTTTTTTACAAGCAGTATATGGCCGCCTTAATAAACGTCCTGGCTTTGCATTTTTCTTGATCAGGCTTTCTCACTGGGCAATGAGGTCTCGCGATGAGGGCGCCTCCTTGGGTGTCAGATCACACAGCTGGTCCAGCGACTTGGCCGGACGCATCTTATTAATGCTGCCATTGCTGGCTCCATTGGCGTACGATCTCCGGTTCGTTGCTGTTGATATAAGAATGAAAATTCAATGAGAATCAAACTTCTTTAAGTAGGTTATCTAACACTTGCCCATTTCTATCCAACTCCTGGGTGGACTAAGCATTGCGCAGTTTTCCGGATCCATAGCAGTGCTCCACCTCAGAGTGCTGAGTTGGCTGGAGAGGAAAACTGTAAGATGATAAGAGTACGATTCTTAAAAGCCTTGTCCTGTACTCGCAGCTTGTCCAGCGAAGCCTTCAGTGTGTTCTGCCTGCCCGTCTCGCGCGACTTGAGATCCTGAAGCTCCCGCTGGACCTTCCGCTAGACGGGCACATAGCCTCGACGCAAAGGCCTGCCCTCCGAGTCCCGCAGGGGAATATTGGGTGTCACCAGCTTGCCATGGGAGGCTATAAGCCGCTGAATCACGCCCTTGGTAGGGCAGGCCGCTCAGCTGCGGCATGGAAATGGTTCTGGTCTGCAGCGGCGGCTCCGGTGTCATGTTGGAGCAGTTGGGTCCAATGTAACGCTGTTCCTGGCGGGTGACCACAGTCAGCTTGAGCGGCTGCTGCTGCTTGGCTTCGAGGTTGTTGTTGCTCTGCGAGGAGGCCGAGATGCCAGAGTCATTCGACTGTGGATCATCGAGGAACTTCACCTTGGCGCTGTTCACGCTAGAGGCCAGCGAGGGTGTATTGGAGAGCTCATCAATGGGCAGCAGGAGAGTAGTGGTCTGCACTGCCGCCGGCCGGGCTGTGACTAGCACGCCCTGGACATGATCCAGCTTATCCCGATCCTGTAGCTACTTTTGAGTGCATTCACCATAACCTAAAACGTTGGATGTCAAAGCTGCACATGGTTCCATGCCAGCAATCGATAGTCAAAGCTGCGTATGGTTATTCAGCAATCGATAGTCAATGCTGCAATGCTGCACATCGTCACTGATCGTCGCTGTTGCACATGGCTGCAGGCAACCAGCTGAAAGTCAAAGCGGTCACACTTCGATGTAAAAGTAGCGAAACATGAGTTGGTCACACGTGAAAAAGCTTGTGATAATGGATATGGACTCACCTTTTTTACAAGCAGTATATGGCCGCCTTAATAAAAGTCCTGGCTTTGCATTTTTCTTGATCAGGCTTTCTCACTGGGCAATGAGGTCTCGCGATGAGGGCGCCTCCTTGGGTGTCAGATCACACAGCTGGCCAGCGACTTGGCCGGACGCATCTTATTAATGCTGCCATTGCTGGCTCCATTGGCGTACGATCTCCGGTTCGTTGCTGTTGATATAAGAATGAAAATTCAATGAGAATCAAACTTCTTTAAGTAGGTTATCTAACACTTGCCCATTTCTATCCAACTCCTGGGTGGACTAAGCATTGCGCAGTTTTCCGGATCCATAGCAGTGCTCCACCTCAGAGTGCTGAGTTGGCTGGAGAGGAAAACTGTAAGATGATAAGAGTACGATTCTTAAAAGCCTTGTCCTGTACTCGCAGCTTGTCCAGCGAAGCCTTCAGTGTTGTCTGCCTGTTGCTGGTGTTGCTGTTGCTGTTCTGACTTCCATTCTGATTGGTCCCGGAGCTGGTGATGTTGCCCAATGGCGAGGCGGCGGCAGGAGTATATTGGGTGTCACAAGCTTGCCATGGAAGGCAATAACCCGCTGCATCATGCCCTTGCTAGAGGCACCACCTAAGGCAAACTAACGCTTCTGGGGCAGGCCACCGAAATGGTCCTGGTAACTAAGCTTCTGCTGCGGTGGCTCCGGTGTCATGTTGTAGCAGTTGTGTTGCTCTGCGAGGAGGCCGAGATGCCAGAGTCATCCGAATGCTGGCCATCGAGGCTCTCCTCCTTGGCGCTGTTCACGCTAGAGGCCAGCGAGGGTGTGTTGGATAGCTCATCAATGGGCAGCAGGAGAGTAGTGGTCTGCACTGCCGCCGGCCGGGCTGTGACTAGCACGCCCTGGACATGATCCAGCTTATCCCGATCCTGTAGCTGCTTTGAGTGCATTCACCATAGCCCAAAACAAAGCAGTGCTCCACCTCAGAGTCCTCATCGTCATCGTCGTCCGCATCGGCCTCGTCTGTGCTGAGCTGGCTGGAAACGTAAAAAACGTAAGATGATAAGAGGACGATTCTTTAAAGCCTTGTCTTGTACTCACAGCTTGTCCAGCGAAGCCTTCAGTGTGTTCTGCCTGCCCGTCTCGCGCGACTTGAGGTCCTGAAGCTCCCGCTGGATCTTCCGCTAGACGGGCACATAGCCTCGACGCAAAGGCCTGCCCTCCGAGTCCCGCAGGGGAATATTGGGTGTCACCAGCTTGCCATGGGAGGCTATAAGCCGCTGAATCACGCCCTTGGTAGGGCAGGCCGCTCAGCTGCGGCATGGAAATGATTCTGGTCTGCAGCGGCGGCTCCGGTGTCATGTTGGAGCAGTTGGGTCCAATGTAACGCTGTTCCTGGCGGGTGACCACAGTCAGCTTGAGCGGCTGCTGCTGCTTGGCTTCGAGGTTGTTGTTGCTCTGCGAGGAGGCCGAGATGCCAGAGTCATCCGAATGCGAATCATCGAGGAACTTCACCTTGGCGCTGTTCACGCTAGAGGCCAGCGAGGGTGTATTGGAGAGCTCATCAATGGGCAGCAGGAGAGTAGTGGTCTGCACTGCCGCCGGCCGGGCTGTGACTAGCACGCCCTGGACATGATCCAGCTTATCCCGATCCTGTAGCTGCTTTTGAGTGCATTCACCATAACCTAAAACGTTGGATGTCAAAGCTGCACATGGTTCCATGCCAGCAATCGATAGTCAAAGCTGCGTATGGTTATTCAGCAATCGATAGTCAATGCTGCAATGCTGCACATCGTCACTGATCGTCGCTGTTGCACATGGCTGCAGGCAACCAGCTGAAAGTCAAAGCGGTCACACTTCGATGTAAAAGTAGCGAAACATGAGTTGGTCACACGTGAAAAAGCTTGTGATAATGGATATGGACTCACCTTTTTTACAAGCAGTATATGGCCGCCTTAATAAACGTCCTGGCTTTGCATTTTTCTTGATCAGGCTTTCTCACTGGGCAATGAGGTCTCGCGATGAGGGCGCCTCCTTGGGTGTCAGATCACACAGCTGGTCCAGCGACTTGGCCGGACGCATCTTATTAATGCTGCCATTGCTGGCTCCATTGGCGTACGATCTCCGGTTCGTTGCTGTTGATATAAGAATGAAAATTCAATGAGAATCAAACTTCTTTAAGTAGGTTATCTAACACTTGCCCATTTCTATCCAACTCCTGGGTGGACTAAGCATTGCGCAGTTTTCCGGATCCATAGCAGTGCTCCACCTCAGAGTGCTGAGTTGGCTGGAGAGGAAAACTGTAAGATGATAAGAGTACGATTCTTAAAAGCCTTGTCCTGTACTCGCAGCTTGTCCAGCGAAGCCTTCAGTGTGTTCTGCCTGCCCGTCTCGCGCGACTTGAGATCCTGAAGCTCCCGCTGGACCTTCCGCTAGACGGGCACATAGCCTCGACGCAAAGGCCTGCCCTCCGAGTCCCGCAGGGGAATATTGGGTGTCACCAGCTTGCCATGGGAGGCTATAAGCCGCTGAATCACGCCCTTGGTAGGGCAGGCCGCTCAGCTGCGGCATGGAAATGGTTCTGGTCTGCAGCGGCGGCTCCGGTGTCATGTTGGAGCAGTTGGGTCCAATGTAACGCTGTTCCTGGCGGGTGACCACAGTCAGCTTGAGCGGCTGCTGCTGCTTGGCTTCGAGGTTGTTGTTGCTCTGCGAGGAGGCCGAGATGCCAGAGTCATTCGACTGTGGATCATCGAGGAACTTCACCTTGGCGCTGTTCACGCTAGAGGCCAGCGAGGGTGTATTGGAGAGCTCATCAATGGGCAGCAGGAGAGTAGTGGTCTGCACTGCCGCCGGCCGGGCTGTGACTAGCACGCCCTGGACATGATCCAGCTTATCCCGATCCTGTAGCTACTTTTGAGTGCATTCACCATAACCTAAAACGTTGGATGTCAAAGCTGCACATGGTTCCATGCCAGCAATCGATAGTCAAAGCTGCGTATGGTTATTCAGCAATCGATAGTCAATGCTGCAATGCTGCACATCGTCACTGATCGTCGCTGTTGCACATGGCTGCAGGCAACCAGCTGAAAGTCAAAGCGGTCACACTTCGATGTAAAAGTAGCGAAACATGAGTTGGTCACACGTGAAAAAGCTTGTGATAATGGATATGGACTCACCTTTTTTACAAGCAGTATATGGCCGCCTTAATAAAAGTCCTGGCTTTGCATTTTTCTTGATCAGGCTTTCTCACTGGGCAATGAGGTCTCGCGATGAGGGCGCCTCCTTGGGTGTCAGATCACACAGCTGGGCCAGCGACTTGGCCGGACGCATCTTATTAATGCTGCCATTGCTGGCTCCATTGGCGTACGATCTCCGGTTCGTTGCTGTTGATATAAGAATGAAAATTCAATGAGAATCAAACTTCTTTAAGTAGGTTATCTAACACTTGCCCATTTCTATCCAACTCCTGGGTGGACTAAGCATTGCGCAGTTTTCCGGATCCATAGCAGTGCTCCACCTCAGAGTGCTGAGTTGGCTGGAGAGGAAAACTGTAAGATGATAAGAGTACGATTCTTAAAAGCCTTGTCCTGTACTCGCAGCTTGTCCAGCGAAGCCTTCAGTGTTGTCTGCCTGTTGCTGGTGTTGCTGTTGCTGTTCTGACTTCCATTCTGATTGGTCCCGGAGCTGGTGATGTTGCCCAATGGCGAGGCGGCGGCAGGAGTATATTGGGTGTCACAAGCTTGCCATGGAAGGCAATAACCCGCTGCATCATGCCCTTGCTAGAGGCACCACCTAAGGCAAACTAACGCTTCTGGGGCAGGCCACCGAAATGGTCCTGGTAACTAAGCTTCTGCTGCGGTGGCTCCGGTGTCATGTTGTAGCAGTTGTGTTGCTCTGCGAGGAGGCCGAGATGCCAGAGTCATCCGAATGCTGGCCATCGAGGCTCTCCTCCTTGGCGCTGTTCACGCTAGAGGCCAGCGAGGGTGTGTTGGATAGCTCATCAATGGGCAGCAGGAGAGTAGTGGTCTGCACTGCCGCCGGCCGGGCTGTGACTAGCACGCCCTGGACATGATCCAGCTTATCCCGATCCTGTAGCTGCTTTTGAGTGCATTCACCATAGCCCAAAACAAAGCAGTGCTCCACCTCAGAGTCCTCATCGTCATCGTCGTCCGCATCGGCCTCGTCTGTGCTGAGCTGGCTGGAAACGTAAAAAACGTAAGATGATAAGAGGACGATTCTTTAAAGCCTTGTCTTGTACTCACAGCTTGTCCAGCGAAGCCTTCAGTGTGTTCTGCCTGCCCGTCTCGCGCGACTTGAGATCCTGAAGCTCCCGCTGGACCTTCCGCTAGACGGGCACATAGCCTCGACGCAAAGGCCTGCCCTCCGAGTCCCGCAGGGGAATATTGGGTGTCACCAGCTTGCCATGGGAGGCTATAAGCCGCTGAATCACGCCCTTGGTAGGGCAGGCCGCTCAGCTGCAGCATGGAAATGGTTCTGGTCTGCAGCGGCGGCTCCGGTGTCATGTTGGAGCAGTTGGGTCCAATCTAACGCTGTTCCTGGCCATCGAGGGTGTATTGGAGAGCTCATCAATGAGCAGCAGGAGAGTAGTGGTCTGCACTGCCGCCGGCCGGGCTGTGACCAGCACGACCTGGACATGATCCAGCTTATCCTAAACCTGTGTCTGCTCCTGAGTGCATTCACCATAACCTTAAACGTTGGATGTCAAAGCTGCACATGGTTCCATGCCAGCAATCGATAGTCAAAGCTGCGTATGGTTATTCAGCAATCGATAGTCAATGCTGCAATGCTGCACATCCTCACTGATCGTCGCTGTTGCACATGGCTGCAGGCTAGCAGCTGAAAGTCAAAGCGGTCACACTTCGATGTAAAAGTAGCGAAACATGAGTTGCCCACACTTGAAAAAGCTTGTCATAATGGATATGGTCTCACGTTTTTACTGTCCTGGCTTGGCATTTTTTTTTATCAGGGTTTCCCACTGGGCAATAAGGTCTCGCGATGAGGGCGCCTCCTCAGGCGTCAGATCACAGAGCTGGGCCAGCGACATGGCCGGACGCATCCCATTAATGCTGCCATTGCTAACTCCATTGGCTATGTAGGCGGCTGCATTCAGGCTGCGATTGCCAGCGGGCTTGTGTAAGAGGATTCTTGAAAGCCTTGACAAATACTCACAGCTTGTCCTGTTAATCTTGCGCAGGCGCTTCAGCTCCGTCTCGCGCGACTTGACCTTCCTGCGTCGCGTCGTGCAGCTCACGCTGGATCTTCTGCCCGACGGGCAGATAGCCTCGATGCAACGGCCTGCCCTCCGAGTCTCGCTCGATGGCTGTCGGTGATAGGGTGACCGTGGTAATGCCCGTTGGCCAGCGCCGTGCGTGTGTTCAGCTTGAGGGTGTTGCTGTTGCTGCTGTTGTTATTGTTGTTTCTACTCTGATTTTCAATTGATTGGTTCAGCAGCTGGTGATGTTGCCCAATGCGGCAGCGGACTATTGACTATCAGCTGCTTGCCATGGGAGGCAATAAACCGCTGCATCACGCCCTTGGTAGAGGCACTACCGAAGGCAAACTGACGTTTCTGGGGCAGGCCGCTGCCGGAGTGGAAATGGTCCTGGTGAGGAGCTGCGGCGGCTCCGGTGTCATGTTGTAGCAGTTGGGTCCAATGTAAGGCTGCTCCTGGCGTGTGACCACGGTCAGCGGCTGCTGCTGCTGCTTGGCCTGGAGGTTGTTGTTGCTCTGCGAGGAGGCCGAGATGCCCGAGTCATCCGAATGCTGGCCATTGAGGCTCTCCTCCTTGGCGCTGTTGACGCTAGAGGCCAGCGAGGGTGTGTTGGATAGCTCATCAATGGGCAGCAGGAGCGAAGTGGTCTGCACTGCCGACGGCTGGGCTGTGACCAGCACGCCTTGGACATTATCCAGCTCATCCTGATCCTGTAGCTGCTCTTGAGTGCATTCACCATAACCTAAAACGTGGGATGTCAAAGCTGCACATGGTCCCATCACAATAGCTGATCGTCAAAAAAGTTGTGAAAAAAGACGCATTTTCGGTATTAAAGTATTGAAAACTATCTGGTCACGCAACAAAAAGCTTGTGGTATAATGGTGGAAATAGTAGCTGGTCACACTGCAAAAATTTTCGTATATAGAGCTGACAAACCAGCTATTTTATATCTAGATTTAAGCTCCGAGTTTTAAGCTCTAAGCTTTAGATCTGCTACAATATAGCTAAACGGACAACTCTAATTTGCATCTCGTACACTAAAATTAATCCGCTTTCTGCGGTTTCTGTTCGTCTGGTATTTCAGATTCAGAAATGAAAGAATTTGAACTGAAAATGATCGAAGGCTTGTTGTTGCCTAACAACAACAACAACAAAGTTTACAAAAACAACAATTTTACTACTACAAAAACAAGAACTACAATAATTTTACAAAAACAAGCCAATTTACCAGCTGAAAAAAAATCCCAAAAAGTAAAAGTATTCCGTTTTTTGTCTAACTTTGGTTATAATTTTATTCATTAGCTTAAAGTTGTTCTTGTTTTTTTCTCACACTGCCATGCGCTCTCTCCTTTAATTCAGATACACTTGTATCCCTACTTTTCAAATTATCTTACTGTTCTGCTTGCCGACAGCTTTAGCTTTTTGCATTTTCACATCTTGGTTGGTTTTGTTTTTGTTTTTCATTTTTAAACATAGATTGAGAAATTATTTATAACTGTATATGTATGTTATGCGTAATTATATATTATTAAACATGTAGTATAATTTATGTGTAGCATACAAAAAAAATAGCTAAAAAAAAATAAACAAAAATGCCAGAGAACCGCGACGGTGTCCGGATGATATAGTTTATATCCTATGTGTGTGTTTTGTGTACAACGAAAAGATGCCACCGTCAGTATCCTAGGTCTTGGTCTTGGCTTGGGGTTGGGTTTGGGTTTGGGTTCGGGTCTCGTTCTCCTACTGCTTCTCCTTTCTGTATCCTCCTCCATCCATCCGCTCACTGTGGCTTCTGGTTCTTTGGTGGTGCTTGGTGCTGCTGCTGCTGTTGCTGGGCCTGCTGCTGCTGCGTCTCGTACCGCTGACGCAGGGCAGTCAGGGCGCTCAGTAGCCGGCTATTGGCCGCGTCCAGCGCCGCTATCTGCTGGCCCTGCTCCTCGATGACGCGCTGCTTGTGCGACAGCGCCAGGGACATCTTTAGCTGCTCGCGTCGCAGCTCCTCCTCCATGGTGATGAGTCTGCGGGATGAATGCAGGTAACTTTTGATTAATACATCCATTGAAGGACTTCCAGAGAAGAGAGACAACAACTGGTTAGATCCTCACCTGTCGATAATGCTGCGCATCGTGGACTCCGACTGCAGGCTGAGGTTGTTGGAGCCATTGCTACCGGCGGCGCTTCCCGCCTGACGCTGCAGGCCGAAGAGCTCGTCGCGCACCTCCGCCTCGTCGCGGTCGAGGGTGTGACGCAACGTGTCTAGCGTCTGCTGCAGCAGCTGGATTTCTCCGTTCTGGTCGTAGCCGCCTTTGCCGAGTCCTTGCTCTGTGGAACCGCCGTTCCCAGCTCCGCCGCCTCCTCCTCCTCCGCCGCTGCTGCCACCGCTACTGCGCAACTGCCGGCGTCGCTTGCCCTCCTGCAACTGGTTGCAGTGACCTGGAAAACCAATTAAAGTAATGTAAGTAAAGTAAGCCAAGAAGAAGAATTCCACAAACTCACCCTCCGTGTCCGTGCTGCTGTCGGACAGCGTGCGCGCCGAATCCAGGCTGAGTCGCCTCTGGGCCGCCGATGTGGCCGATCCCACGCTGCCGGCCGCACTGCCGGCATACTGCTTCAGCTCCAGTTCACGCTCCCGCTGCTGTTGCTGCAGCTGCTGCTGGTGCTGCTGCTGGGTATGCTGCTGGTGGTGCCCACCGACATAGCCCACGTTGCCGCTGCTGCCGCCATAGCCGCTGCCGTAGACATCCTCCCGCTTCAACGGACCATTCAGGCGTCCATAGGCACTGCCGTTACCGTTGCCATTGCCGCTCTTGCCCAGATTCGAGGTGGAGGCCGAGGCCGAGGTGGAGGAACTGCTGCCGCCGCTGAGCGATCGCTGTGCCTCCAGCTTGCCGGATATTCCAGCTCCTGCCGCTGCCGCAGCTGCATAGCTGTAGTAGTTATCCGCCGATAGCTGCTCATCCGAGGAGCTGGGCGTCAGTGTGGCCGCATCCAGGGTTCCTCCACTGTTGAGGAATGCCGCTCTGGCGGCCACCAAACCACCTCCAATGGGCTTCAACCGGCTGCCAATCTGCTGCTGCAGCTGCTGGTAGGAGAGGGCTGAGGAACCGCCGCCGCTGCCGCCGCCCGTCTGGGGCTGCAGCTGATAGGAGGGATTCTTGAAGGCTAGCGGTGCATTGGGTCCGCTGGCCATCGCTGCCTTCAGCTGGCTGCCTACGGGACTGGATGACTGCGAGGGCGAGGGATTGGTAGAGATGCTCTGATAGCCGGAGCTGCAGTGGCTGCTCTTTGCCGATAGCTGCTCCTTGCCGCCGGCGCCTGGTTTGAGGTGTTGTCCTTGTCCTTGTCCCTGTCCCTGTCCCTGTCCCTGTCCCTGCTGCTGCTGCTGGCTCTGGATCTGGCTTTGCCCCTGGCTGTGGCCATGGTGATGATGATGACTGCCTGGGTCCGCCACATCGTGCTCCTCGGCATACTTGAATAGATCGTCGAGATCCTCCAGGTTCTTGGGCATATTCGAGTTGGGATTGAGGTTGTTGTTGCGCGCATAGCCGCCCGAATGATCAGGTATTCCCAGATTCAGCTTGTGGTGGCTCCGCCCGCCAGTTGATGGTCCTCCTCCTCCGCCGCCGCCGCCGTTGCCGCCGCCCAAGCTGGATTTCATCATGGGCGTGGGGGATTTGCAGACAAAAGCACTGCTCGTGTCCAGACCGGAGATCTGTATTTGAAACTCACCGTGCATGTCATCGTAGCTGCCGCTCTGATTGTTATTGTTGTTGTTGATGCTGCTGCTGCTCATCATGGTGGTGGAGCCATTGGGATTCCCATTACGTGGCAGTGTCCTGGAGCGAGTGCTTGACGGTGTGCTGGCCTCGTAGTCGTTGCCATTGTGGGCCATGTAGGGATAATTCAGGCGGTCCATGCGATCCATGCGCTCCATGGTGCTGGAGGCACTCGTTTGAGGCGCCGGCGGGCAGTGATGTTGATGAAGCTGCTGCTGCTGCTGATGGACAAGCTGTTGCTGCTGCTGTTGCTGGTGTCCTGCATGCAGTAGGTTGCTGCTGCTACCATTGAGCGATGAACTGGCCATCGAGGTCTGCGATTGGGCATGCTGCAGACCGCCGCCGGGCGAGCTCATGTACTGGTTGCTGGCTGCAATCGAGGTTTGGGAGTTCGAGAGCAGCTGCAGGGGATGCTGATGATGGGGATGCTGCTGCTGCTGTTGCAATTGCTGCTGTTGCTGTTGCTGCTGCTGCTGCAGCAATCCATTCACTGTGGGATCATTGTACCGAAAGATGTTCTTCTCCAGCGAATTGGGCGTGAGCACGCCCCGCATGATGCCTCTTTCCGCCGACAAGGGTTTGCTTACAATCGCATGCTGCGGCTGCGCCAGCTGGCTCTGGTGTTGCGGCATCATCTGCTGCTGCTGCTGTTGCTGCTGCTCCGAATTGGTCTGCAAGCCGACGCTGCTGCCTCCTGGATGACGATTCTCCTGATTCTCGCTGGCTATCGAATGCGTGGACGAGGTGGCCGGCAAATAGCCACCAGGTATGGCCACCCCCAGGTTGCCCTGCTCCCGGGCCCTGGTAATCTCGTCCAGAATGTGCTGCAGGGGATCCAGCTCGTGCTGCCTGGCCTCGGGAAGCTTGGCCAGACTCTCGCTGAGCAGGGTATGCAGGATGGACAGCTGCTTGCCCTGATCTATGTAGCCGGCCCAGTCGAGGATGGAGTCGGGCGCTGGATGCTCCGGTCGCGTCGATATAAACTCCAGAAACTGCTGCATGCGGCCGGCCTCCTGCTCGAGGAAATCGTTGAGGAACTCCATAAAGTACTCCTTGCCCTGGAAGCGGGTGAAGTTGGCCAGCGTCTGCAGGGTTTTGGCCACCAGCGTCAGGTTGCGGGTGGCACGCGCCGAGGGCAGTTCACTGGTGATATTGAACAGTGACGGCGACAGGATGGCGGGGCAGAGGAAGCGCAGAAAGATGCTGGCCGAGATCAGGTTGTCGGCCATATCCTGGCGGCCGAGCTGCTGCAGTCGCTCGCGGAACGTGGCAAAGCAGTTCCGCAGCTGCGGCGGGAAATGCTTGTGCGACTCGAAGATGCACTGCCAGGCACCGCGCACTGCGCCACGCAAGGCAGCCTGCTGGCGTTGCAACGATCCTGCCGAGGAGCCGCTGGCCTTGGTTGGATCCACCTCACAGTCCCGCTCCGATTGGATTAGCTCGTTAATTGGGGCCGAGAGTGTGTCCTGTAGATACTGCTCACCGGTTAGCTTCAGGAATGCCTCCATGCTCTTGGTGGCCAGCGAATTGCCGCGGAACGTCAGCCTCTGGTCGCCCACGCGCAATAGATCCAGTGCCACGACATCGGTGAGAAAGGCTCCGGCCAGTCCCTGGGCATGCATCAAGAGGACCAAAGCCTGGCCAATATCCTCCTTGGCCTTCACACCAATCACCGGCTCCAGGGTCTCGCACACGCGCTTATAGTTCTCCTTGAGGTAGGCCAGGAAGTTGGCGTACACATTGATGGGCAGGATGTCGGTGCTCTGGAAGCGACACTTGATCCGCAACGTTGGCAGCTGCTCCTTCTCCTTCGATCCGCTGCCGCCGCCGCCGGAGGTCCGGCCCAGGCTATCGCCCGCCTTGTCGCTCAATATGGGATACCATTGCTCGCAGGGCAGACGGGAGGTGACATCGTGCACGGGTATCTTGACGGAGCCCACAAACTGGTACTTGTCGCGCTTCTTCTTCTTGTCCACCTCACGGAACACATTGACCGTGATCACATTGATCTCTGGGATGTCCGGAAAGTCAAAGTATTCGCCCCAGAAAAGCAAATCCGTCTGCAGCTTCACCGACGTCCGCCCATACAGGGTCTTGTCCAGCTGCAGCTCACAAAAGTATCGCTTCTTTGGCGGCAGATTCTTCGCCTCGTAGACCCACATCTTCAGTGAGTTGTCGGTGCGTCGCGTGTGCTCTGCATTCGGGGCTATCGACTTGCGCAGCGAGTAGATCCATAAATCGCGCTCCTGTCGCGATCCGCACGAGTAGTAACGCTCTCCACGCGGCCCGCCGCGCACCTGGAAGCAGTGGCGCCTCCCAAGCACCGATTGGTGCACCGGTGCCACGCCCACAGCTCCCGTGCAAGAGAGATCTTGAAAAGAGGAGGAGAAAAAGCATATTAATTAGTGTAAATTAAAAAGTGTATCAATATTTAATGGTATATCTATAAATCTAGGTTTTAATGCTGCGATTAATCGTTTATCCATTTAATAAATAAATTAAATACATTATTTAATCTTATGAAGTATTATTACTGTAGTCAAAAGCTTAAAACGCAGTGAAGGAGTCATTTCCGACCCTATAATCTATATATATTCTTGATCAGGATAAACAGGATCGATTTAAAAGAAAAACTGAGTATGCAGATTTATAAATCTAATAAAAACTTGCATAAAAATGCAATCGGAATCGAAATTAATGAATTGAATTGAATTTGACTTAGTTATGGGATTTTTATACCCTTGCAGGGTATTATAATTTCAGTCAGAAGTTTGCAACGCAGTGAAGGAGGCACCTCCGACTATATAAAGTATATATATTCTTGATCAGGATCAACAGCCGAGTCGATCTAGTCATGTCCGTCTGTCCGTCTGTCCTTCTGTCCGTCTGTCCGTCTGTCCGTTTCTACGCAAACTAGTCTCTCAGTTTTAAAGCTATCTGAATGAAACTTTGTAGTTAGCCTTCTATATACTCTCACTCGTATATATGTCGGAACGGGCCGGATCAACCGACTATATCATATAGCTGCCATAGGAATGATCGGAAAATTTTTACAAAAAAATGTTTAACTTTTTCAGTTTTCAATAGAATTGGATCAAATTTGAGATATAGCCATTTTACTATACTCTACAATTTTGCATAAAATTTTATGAAAATCGGACTACTATATCATATAGCTCCCATAGGAACGATCGAGAAATTAATTCAATTAAATTTATAACCTTTTCAGTTTTCAACTGATTTTCATCAAATTTTAGGGATAGGCATTTTATAGTCTTAAATTTTGTGTCAAATTTCATGAAAATCGGGCTATTATATCATATAGGTGCCATACAAACGATCCTTTGATGTAGAGGAAAAATGCAAATCTTTGAATGTAAAACTGCAAATATAATATGTATAGGTGAATACAATGAAAGCAGGTATTACTTCATTGTTTTTTAACACAAATATATATAATTTATATTGTATGGTTTTTTATTCATAGAAGTTCTATATGCAAGGGTATATAAACTTCGGCGTGCCGAAGTTAGCTTCCTTTCTTGTTAGACTTGATTTTTTTTCACAAAAATTATGTTTTAACGTTAAATGTAATAATATTCCTTAATCTTACATATTTATGTTATTTATATTATCTTTTATGAGATACCGTCGATATGGATCAATCTCTCACTTTTCCTCTCTATCTATACATTCCTAGTACATTTATTTAGTTAACAATTAACCCACTTTAAGGGTATATACATAGTTGGCCTGCATCTCAATTGAATGGATTCATTCACACTCACCTATGGTGGACATGACGGCGTGACTGGACAGCAGACTCTCGTGCGAGCGGGAGCCCCTCAGTCCGCCGGAACCGCGCTTGGTCCGTTCCAATTTGGTCACCGACTTGGTACGCTTCAGGGGATTGGATCTGCGGCCATGACAGAAACAGAAATCATTAGTAAATAATTACAAAACATGAGTAATTAGTGCACTGGCTATACTTTTTGGAAAAGAAGTTTGTGAAGCGCGAGGTGGTGCTATCCGTCTGATGTTGTTTACTGCCCAGAATGGGCGTTGTGGGAGCCGAGCCGCGGCGACAGGCCTTCTCATAGGAGGTATCTGTAAGGACAAGAGCAGGATATACGCATTAGTAAGGATTATCTCGAGTCTTGAGTATATATATCAGTCATTGTTTGAGATCACATTGACCCTCCACTCGTGTTCATGTTTCAGGTGATTCAGGAAGGTATTTTAATCCGCAAATGATGAATTCCCAGTTTCCAGTTCCCAGTCACCGTTCAACCTCTCCCCCGCAGTGGCACAACCTTTTCTCGAGTTCAGTTTCAGTTTTTAAGCATTTTTCTGGACTCGTGAAAACCGGTTCTTGAACCATCGAAAGAAACAAAAGAAAAGGAGCAGCTGGCTCGTATTGAATTTGGCCCAGCTCCGGTAGAGCCATCACCTGCCGCAAAAAAGAATAATAACAACAACAGCCGGAGGAGGAGGAGGAGGTTAAGATATAGAAAACAGGGGCAGGTACTACCCATCATCCATGATTCATCATGTGCCTCATTACCACAGCAGCAAGAAGATGCTCTCTATGCACTTTACGAAAAGTATCATATCTACAGGGAATTCTATACAAAAGTGCAATACAAAGACCTGTTTTGCTTGTATAATATATGCACTCTTCTCCCTCTGTTAATAATTATATATATTTGGTTCTTATATGGTAATATATGGACTTGGCTTAATACTTGTTTTAATATCTATATAAAAATAGACTTTGATTAATTGAGTTTGCAATAAGCATTTATAAGATAATAAATGGGTATATGAGGTGGCAAGTCAAGCTTCTTTTCTATTCAACTCTTTTCTTTTAAGTGCACTCTTAAACCATAGGAATCTGGGCAACAGAAACCAGTTTTTTGTACCTTCATTATGCGTTCTTTTTTCCTTCAGAACGAGCCCAAAAAAAAGAAGGAAACAAAGCGACCTTGTCGAAGGCAGGCCACCTACAATGTTGACCGGAAAGCAGGGTTGAATCCAGGGGAAGCCACCTCCGACTCGGGCTCTGACTCATCCGGAGTTAGAGCAAACATAATTTTAAATGCTTCATTCTTTCTTTAGGTTTTTCCAAAGGAGTTGTTGACATGCTAGGGTTGAGGTTGCCCTAAAGGGATCTCTTCCGCATCCAAACCAGATGCAAACAGATACCCCACTCATATACTCATATACTCATATACTCGCTCTTTCATTCATTCAAACGAATAAGAAATTGTGTCATCTTGGGTTTCTTCTGTGGCATTCAAAATGTAGACAACGCACGAGTATAATATAATCCCATATATAAGATCAAAACTCGTTGATGATGAGCAACTGTATCATCATCTTAATCTCGCGTGCAAAACAAACAAAACGAGACGAGAAAAAATATAAAACAAAAACGATGTTTTAGGTATATAAAATACTATATATAAGAAGGTGAGGGAGACGTATATGGCGCATTTATGCCTATTTCGTACAAGGTGGGTGTTCCACGCCCCCAGAGATAGATATGCCAAATCTAGAATAGGCATGCCAAAGCACACAATTTCACGAAACAAAAAAGCACGAAAGCATGAAATCACAAAAGCAAAATCACACCCAAGGAGGGGGAGAATGCTTTTAAAAAGGATTGCTTTTTATACATATTTTTAAAAGGGAGAGCCAGGAAATAGATTTTATCTATATTAATGAAATGTAAAGAAATTCTATACATTTCCACAACAAAATGTAGGTTAGCTATCCCCCGGCAGCTTATCATATTGCTCAAGCATAAATTTATAAAGACTTAAGTCTTTATTACATACAATTAAGCTTAATGGTGATTTTCCCCCCATGTTCTTCTTGTTTGATAAATAAAACTGATTGATGGAAGATGCCAGCAGAAGAAGCAAACTTTCTCATAAATAATAACTACATATGATCGATGTTTGACCCCCACTTTGAAGAGAGTTCAACAACTGATAAAGTCTTTAATAAAGTCCATACACTTGCAGATAAATTTCCTGCCATTCGTTTGCTTTAAAAAATGTTAGTTTTCAACATACAACTTTTAACCAAACTGGGCATAGGTGGGCTGAGATATCACTTACATATAAAGCAGGGCGATGAAGTCAGACAAGATCAGGTTATAGAGCCCTATATAGAGTAGTACTATTATGACATACATAATAATAAATTTTGTATACTTTATATATATTGTTGGACGGATGAGATGATGATGCTGATGACGATGATGACCCACCTCCAAGTTCACCGCAGAGATCATGCTATGATCATGATGAAACTCTACTGCCAAAATGATATTGCTCATCGCTTGACTCATAATAATTCTTTGTCTCTTTGGGGCTCAGTTTGTTTTTTTCGGGTTTCCCTGAGAGACTTGCAATTAAAACGGATTCCAGAGTGAAAGCGATTGCTATCGGAACGTATCGGATGGGATTTATGATATATCTTTTTCTTTTTCTGATCCCTCAGGCGGATGCTAACTGTGCGATAGGGTCAGCTCAATTATCGGCGCGTTAAATAAACCAAAGAGACGGAGACAACGCCATGTGTGGAGAGTGTGGATAGTCGGATAGTGGAAAGAAAATGCGTATAAAACGACGTATCTCACGATCCGTCAGCGGGTCTTTGATAAATGGAACCACCACTACTACTACTACTACTACTCTACAGAGTGATCGTGGCAGATAAATTGCTGCAACCGTATTATACATACCATATCGTCTGAGCTATAGATAAGGAGCTTGTCAATCAATAAACCAATTTTCGAACCTTTTCAAAAAATCATAAATATGCCACACTCATATTCTATTCCTATCAACGCACATAACTTACAAACAATCATTATTTATTTTTCATTTTATTTTTCTTCCCTTAGCACATGTATCTCTGGACTAGAAGCCGCTTGGTTCGTTAGCTACAAAAGCAAAACCTTATCACATTACAAATAAAAATGCAACTGCACCGCACTGAACGCTGGCGGCAAACAACTACAAACTGACTGCGTCAGAAATATGTATTTTCCTGATTTACAGTGAAAATAATTTAAAGAGTTATGGATCTTCGAGACAAATAAATCAAAATGGGAGTATTATGTGCCAGAGGACAGAAGATATTGATCGAGAAGAAGCATTCTTTTCAGTTGTCAGTCAAGAAATCTCATCCATAATCATTTCCCTAGTTTAATCCTAATTTATACGGTTAATTTATAGATTTTAAGTAGGAAATTAATGGATTAGATTGGTATTTTACGATATTTCGCATATAATAAATGTGTAAGTAAACATTTATTATAGTAAATATTATTTTATAAATTATATATATATATTACTTTTACCAAAAGTGGGAAAAATGGTTAATTTATATTTTTTGTATAGCATTTTTGTAAAAATTTTTGTGCCATTTATTTATACCCTTACAGGGTATTATAATTTCAGTCAGACGCTAAAAACTTTGTGAAGGAATCATTTCCAACCCCATACATCATATATTTTATTGATCGGTATCAACAGGCGAATCGATTTAACTACGTCTGGGGAAAAACTAAATTTTCCAAATTTTTTCGAAATTTGAAAATTTTATTAGGGGATTTTATTTACATCATTAAAATTGTCAAAATTTGACAAAATTTTGATTTTTTAAATTTTAAAGTTGATTTGTTAACCTTTTAAAAACTAACATAGCACAATTTTCCGAATGGAAATTAATGCATTTTTGGCAAAGTTATGATCGATTGAAAATTCTTAATTGTAATAAACTTTAGGCTATTTTTATAGCAATTATTCAATGATTTTTAACTTTGTTTTAGTTAAGATGATATTTTGGCCTTTTTATGTAATTTATCGATATTATCCATAATAGATTTAAAGCTTGTAAATGTTACATTTAAAATAAATAAAGTACCAAATAAAAACAAACAAAAAAGGTAACAAATAAATAGTTTTAAAGGTGAGAATATTGTTTAGAAATATTAAGAATTGTAAGTTAAACCTCTTTAAAATGGTTTCAACTATCTAAAACCCAAAATCTTTAATTACATCTATAAATAATGCATTTTTCAACCATTATTTCCTAACTATATTACCAATTATTTTCAGTGGATCAGCGAATAAATGCCAGCAACAAATTTGAGTTTTTTTTAAATAAAGCCGCTTGTTTGTTTGGCATTCTCCGCCGCTCTCTTTCTTTCCCACCGCCTCTCGCTCTTCAGCTTCCCAAAAACTGGTTTCTTGTGCGGGTGTGTGTGAATCATAATAAAATAACAACAATAAAATAACAACAATTTCCAGAAGAAACAGCAACGAAATTGAAATTGTAGTCAAAGCAAGAGAGACAGAGGAGAATAGGGAGTAGCGGAGGTGATGAAGCCGACGCACAGTGGGATTGGAAGATCATCAATGCAGTATGACCATTTAAATTATTGCAAATCGAATTGGTCACAGTTCCTAGATGATAATGCGAATCGATCAAGGCATTTAACGGTACCAATACCGCCGCCTGCCTCTCACTAAAACTCATTGAAATGCAATGAGCTTGACCATCGATCCATCCTTCCCCGCTGTTCCAAGTATAGAAAACCGATTCCGATTCACAGCGGGAATAACTCAAGAAGTCACCGGCACCACTGGCGACGACATCGCCAATGGACAAAATGGTAAAAAAAAAGAAAATAGAAACACCAACAGCGTTCCTGGAATACAAAATCGAAATGCAAGAGGATGCCCCCGACACCAACATAGATACACAAACATATATATCCAACACTCACGTATTGGCACTCAAGTGTAGTTACTTTTCCAATCACTTTCGGATCGGTTCATTTGGGTTCAATAGTTCCTACACAGCAAGAAATCTACTCATAAATAATATTCTAATATATTTTTATACAACTTTAACATTATATTCTGTACAACTTCTGTGACACCCATTGTGCAATGCTTCACTGCCTTGCCAGGGCCATCAAAATTGAGCTACAATTGAGCCAAACAATTGGGCTACGTTCCAAAAGAATACACATACATTGTACATGTAAACACATATATATATATATATATATATATATATATATGTTCCTGAATAGGTGTCGGAGTGGGGGAGGGTGAGTTCACCTCTGATCGTGTGTAAATAAAGTAGCTAGCCGGCTTGATGATGGCAAACGTCGCAAAAGAAACGCACAGGAAGGCTTAATAACGACGCTGCCAGAAAAGAGAAGGAATCGTTCTATATACTATGTTGTACAGCTGCGACCACTGTAATAGCTGCTCTTCATAAAAACCCTAAAACACCTGGCCATTAAATACTGACCCTTAAAATAGTTGTAATTAATGAGTTTAACATGGCTTTTGTGTGATAAAATGTCCCTCAGGAAGAAGTCCTTAATAGATGTGAAAGATCATTGATCGGAGATAAAAAGTAATCAACCCTTGGCTAATGTCTTATGTATTTCTTTATAAATATATGTATATATGTTGCTTTACTTGGGCAATAGGGTTCATGAGATGTTTGTACCTTTACCAAATCGCTGATCAAACTGAAATTCATTACCTTTTTGTTCAAGGGAAATGTTCTTGGGTAATTCATTTGAAAATTAAATTACACAATCGAACCTAATGTTCTTTGGTATCTATTGAAAGATATCTATATAGAATCTATAGAATCTTTACCTCACATCGGCATAATCTAAAAGCAAACTCAATTCCTATAGATTTTTTCAAATTGTTGATCAAACTGTGCTCTGTAAATTATTTCGTTGATAGTAAAGTTTCCAAGACATTTGTTTATCAAGATATTTGTTTAAATTTCTCTGCGATATTTGTTTAAGAACCACATAAAGTAACTACCATTTTGACCCAAACTGTTTTTGTTTTGGTAAGGAGAGGGGGAACCTTATCTTATCGTGACCCTGGGTGTAGATAGGGGAATACCAAACGCGATCGCCGTTGTTCGATACAAAACACATACAAAAAATGTACTGAGAACCCAAGGGGGATCGTGTGCAATCGAGTCGAAAGGAAACCAAATTGGTTTGAGGGGGAATCGATCACAAAAAGGGGTTGGTTTTGGCACAGGAAATACTTTTGGAACCCCTGACTAGCCCTGCTCCCTGCTCTTTGTTTTTTGTTTCCCCCAAAAACATACCAGAATGATGTCCCGCATCGTCCTCCGTCGCCGTTGTGGTCCCCGTAGTGGTCTCATTCTCCGTGGCCACTGATATATCCGCTCCGGCAGCCAATGTGGATGCCATGTGTATGGCCAGATCCTTGATCTTGAAGCGTTCACAGATCAGTTCCTCACAGTGATCCGCCTGGAAATAGCAGTTCAGCTCATCCAAGCTGAGGGGACAGACATCGTAGGTTTGATAGAAGTGTTTGCCCCAGCTGCCTTGATTGCTGCCATTGGATGAGTCGCCGCCACCAGCACAGCTGGTGGAAAGCACACCGCCTGAATTCATGTGCAGCATGCCACTTGAATTTCCTCCTCCGCTGCCGGCTAGCGACGACGAAGTGCCCACAATCGATCCTCCTTGACTTGGTTTCAGCAAACTATTGCTTCTGGCCACTTTGGTGGAGTTGGCGCGTCTTATGAAGCTCAGGGATTTCTTGGGCGGCGAACATATAACCGGGGTGGGTGTCTCCGCCTGCAGTTTGGGCGTAGACTTGAGCAGGAATAGATTTTTGGGCGGAAAACTATGCGTTAGAATGGAGGTGGCCGAGCAGCTGGTCTGTAGTTTATACGGTGATGATGAGACGGCTCCGCCGCCGCAGCCGCCGCTGGCGCCGGCACCGGAAATGTGGCTGGTGGTGCTGCCGCCAAACAGCTGGCGGTGCTGCTGATGCAAATGATGTTGCTGCTGCTGCTGCTGCTGCTTGTGATGCAGTTTTTCCTGCTTTTCCCGCTTCTTTTCGAGCTCATCCAGAGCGGCGGCCTCTCGTAATATAACTGACGGCGATAGGTTTTGCGGCAGGGTCTTTGATTTCGCACGGAGCGTAATCAGCGTCGTCGTCGTCGTTGTCGTTGTAGTCGTCGACGTCGCCGGCGTCGTCGTGGTGGTGCTTGTTCCCATCGATGAGGTATTGTTGATATTGATATTGTTATTAATATTATTATTATTATTATTGTTTGCCAAACCCCGTTCCACTGTGGGCAGCGGCACGGCCAGTATGTTTGTCCGCGATCGCGACTTCATCAGCTTGATGGGCGTCGAGGTGTTGGTCTGCATGCGGCTGATCTCTGAGTCATCGTCATAGTCGGCGCCGGCGGTGGCTGTGGCGGTATTAGTGGCTTCCGCCTGCGACAAGGCCTGCATTTTGGGCGGCGTGGCCAAGACAATGTCGTGCTCCTCATTAAAATGGCTTCTGGGAGCTGCTCCAGCAGTTGGCCCCGGCGCTAAGGAAGAGCCAGTAGCTGGAGCAGCAGCAGAGGATTCCGTATCGCTGGGCTTAAAAATACTCACATTGAGAACTATGCCATACCGCTTGAGCTTCGACGGCGAGGCAGCATTACTGGTGTTAAGGGACTTCAGCAGGAGCTCGCGGTGACGCGCCTCCGTGGAGCTCTCCTCATCCTCATCGGTATCGGAATATTGGGCATTCGTCTCGCTCCCACTGATGCTCCAGTTGAAGCCGCAGGGTGGCGACATCTTGGCCGGCGTTGCACCCTTCCGCTCGAACAGAGCACTCACCTTGGCCACGCCGCTCTTCACCGAACTGGATTTGCGCAGGCTATAGCTTTTGGTCGATTTTGTTTCGGAATTGGTAAGGGAATTGGTTAGGGAATTTGTGGTGCTGCTCAGGCTGGAATTACTGCCAGATTTTTGGTGCTGATGCTGCTCCTCCTCGTCGTCTTCAATTACCAAAGGCACATAGAATGTGGAGCGGCGACGTTGGGATTTTTCTTCCGGTGTGGCCACCACCACTACGGCTTGCGTCTCGGTCTGCTCAGCAGTGTTAGCTGTGGTTATGTCTGCTACTGTATTTACCGCTGTTGTTGTTGCTGCTGCTGCTGTGCTTGCCTGCAACATTTTGTGCTTGTTTTCGTTGGTTATATTATTTACCTTACATCCTACAGCTACATAGTTGGCTCAAATGTCTCGCAGTGTGGCGCATACACATACTCCAAAGAGGAGCATAAAGAGTGAACGAGACAGAGCGAGCGATGCTTCTTCTCCTCCTCCTCCTCCTCTCCTTTTTGCTGACACTGCTGCTTCTTCTTATTCTGGTGGCTCTTCTTCTCGAATTGTATTTATTTGCCCTCTTCTTCTTCTTGTGTTACTTTACGGTTGTTGTCGTTGTTGCCTTTTTGTGTGCGTTTGTCGCTTGGCTTATAAAAATTATGCGCTCAAGTGCATTTCCGCGTTTTTTTTTCCTTCTGGTCTCCACTCTCTTTGTATATCTGCAGTTTTTTCGCTTCACGCGCCCGTTGTTGTTATTTTATCGCCGTTTCGCATCACATTGTCGCTTGGTTAAGTTTTTCTTTATTTATGTCTTTTTTGTTTAGTTTTCGGTTTTTAGTTGCAGCTACTCCACACATACACGCACACTTGCCCGCTTCGCGCATGCGAGGGAGAGAGATGCCTGCACTAATACAGACGCAGGCCACAGATGCTGGTCAAACGCATTTTTGTGTGTGCAGGAATGCGTTTTTTTTTGTTGGTAGTGTTCCAGGGGTATTGTGGGAATCTTTTGATCTTCCCCGAGTTAAAACACTTTAACAAAAACAATAGTTATAAAAAACAAACAAAAAAAAAGTGGAGTACAGGATAACAAACAAGAAGAAGGCGATTTATCCGAAATTTACAATTAAATAAAAAAAAGCGACGCGAGAGCGCGTTCTCGTCGTTTTCCCGTTTCTATTCCGATAACGATTAAGACCAAAGCGATTGCACACCGCTCTTCTTCGATAGCTTCAGGTTTAAAGAATCGAACACCAGCGAAGGTTAAAAACTCCGCTAAGAATCCAGCGCCATTTCAATGATTAAATTTGGAAATAAACCAATTAGAGCAGGCTTATATAAAGCGGGCACTTTAACAATTAAGTAACAACTACATCTGTGTACAAAACATTTGTGGTGGCAGTATAAAAACCCGTTTGAAATAATCAAGCTGACAAAAATACACTAAAAAATACTTAAGCTACGATCGACTCGGTTGCGGCCTGGGCTCGATTATAGCCGAGGCTCAAACCACAAAGAGAGTGGGAGAGAGAGGAATGGAGAGGAGAGCACGCTTAAAAGAGAGTTGCAATTAGTCAGGTCACATAGATCTCAAATACCCTAGCACATATGTAAATCAATTAAGATTACTTTTATATACCAACTAACTAACTATTTATTGAATATAAACTAAGCAATTTGGATTCTTATTGATTAAGTTTCGGATTATACCTTGCTTCTTTTCGATATCAACTATTTACAAAGAACATTCTGTACAGCAGTAAAAATTCTTGGTCTCTTTTCTTTTGTTTTTAGTCTCCACAGGAGAAAGCAATTTAAAAGTGTCCCGCTGTGCCAGTTGGCCCTACAATGTCAATTGCAGACGCCCGGACCGCACGCAGCGATCGCCATTAGCCATATGCCACGAATCTATACATCCCATGCCGCATCCAATATGCCCGACTTGCTGGCGAGTAGCGCAGCGGAGTGTAAGAAATTCAATTGAAAGCAGGCGGCGTCGGCAGCAGCAAAAAAAAGGAAAAGAAAAGCGGAGACGAAAAAGCAAAAGCAACATAAGGGCGTGAGTGGCAATGTGCCTCGTAATTGATCTAATTGAGAGCAGGTATACCTATTCGTGGCTGTGTGTGTGCGTGCGTTTTATGTAAATAAGCCACGCACACGCCAGGGGTCAAAAGAATAGGAGTTCTTTTTCGAAACTATTGCAAGGGCAATGGGGCAATTATTGTATTATTTGGGTTCCTTAAAGTACTACAATTTAAGGACATTGCTTTTAATTTGGTTTATAACATTAAAAGTTAATTATTTAAAGTTGTTTGCTTATATTTTCCTGGGATTAAATCATTTTTAAAATTTTATAACTATTAAAATCATGAAATATCCCTCTATCAAACCCTTTATCGTTATTTAAACCTTAAATATTTAACCAATTTAGTAAATATTTCCCATATGAAATGTACTATTATTCTGTCCGCAAGTGTAGACGAGGTGCCATACTTGGGCAGCCGGGCAAACGCATAATACAAATTAGAGGGAACCCCATACCAGTCCCTATTCCATACACCCCTTTCTCCACCTTCCCAATTCCCTCGTAACGCTCGGTTCGCTCCTCACCTCCAGTTTATTTTATTATTATTCTTTTTTTCACTGCGGAAGTGCGTGACTATGGGGTTTTATGCGACACGTTCGCCTCCTTCGCCTTGGCGAAACGAAAGACTTCCAATTTCCATTTTCATTTCCATTTCCAAGCAACCTTAAGGCAGGGCACAATGAACTATTGGAACGGGTGGGGGCGAGGGCGAGGCACCGAGTGCTGGCGGGTTAACAACAAATAATAACACCCCCTATTATTTCCAACCCCATTTACCAAGAGTGATCGTTATATGAGCCACATCCTGCCTCTTGAAATACCGTTACTGTTAAGGGAATTCCCCGCACACCAGCAGCTCGATTAGTTACAGTGTTTTAAAAACTTATTTAGAGTGGAATTTATATATAGATAAATTTTATGGGGATTTCCTAAACAATTCTTTATCATGTAAAGTTTTCTGGTTAAGATCAGTAGAGTTTCAGCTCTTCTTAGGTTGTTAAACCTAATTAAAGAAACGTTTTAATGATAATTTAAAAATGATAAAACGTGAATGTAAAAATAACATTAACTAACTCAAACCACAAAGGGAATTTCTACACGAGTCTTTCAATCAAATGCAGCATACTTTTTGGCTTTATATAATACCAACTATCCATGTAGATAACTAGCATCTTAACTTGGAGAAATAATTTAATTAATTAATTTTATATAAGAACGATATGTTTTACAGTCTAAGGAACTTGATTAATGTTATTTAATTATACCTAATGCTCATAAATATTTAGCACTTCTGATTGCATTTCATTAAACTGTTTAGTCAAATAGAAATAAATTCCACTTGCATATTTTCTAAACTAGTTTGAAGTTAAGAAAAAATCTAACTGAAGCCAAGCCCATTAGACAAGTTGTCAAATCAATTACTTTCAACTGCTATTTATAAATATTAATGCAACGATTAATTAAGCAACGGACAGTTGTATGTCAGCCTCTTGATTGATACATAATTTATTTAGATCAGACGATCGAACGGGTTTTCAAAACGCGGACACAAAATTCATTTTGAGGAATTTGATTCCAAAAGATTCTGAAAAGTTTGTGTGGTTCCAATAACTATACTGTTATCTGCGTTAAATAAACATTTGAGAAAAATAAAAATTATTTATAGTATTCGCTTTTTTATTGAGTTTTGCGTAGTAACCACAGCAGATCTATTTTTTTCAATTATTCATCTATATCTATAGAATATTTCTGTAAGCTCAAAAAAATAATTAAATACTATTTGAGTTTAATAACTATTTTTATACTCGTGCAGGGTATTATCATTTCAGTCAGAAGCTTAAAATGGTGTAAAGGAATCATTTCCGACCCCATAAATCATATATATTCTTGATCAGCGTCAACAGGCGAATCTTTATAACCATTATTTGGCAGAAACAAATTTTACCAATTTTTTCAAAATTTTATAAGGGGTTACATCGTTAAAATTTTCAAAAATTGATAAAAATTTGAATTGTTTTTTTTTTTTTAATTAAGTATGCAGATTTAAAATTTTTTAACATAAAACAGCTTTCCGAATTGAAATTGATGCTTTTTTGGCTGAGTTATGAGTTGTTTAAAACATTGATTTGTCGAGAAAATTGCCATATAAAATATTGCTAAATATCGATTCAAAGAATCCGAATATTTTAAGCTTCGATTCGATCCTTGAATTTAATTGCAAACTGCAAGCTTCCGGAACTTCCTTTGCTTGTTTTTTTTTTTTTAATATTCCTTGATAGATACATGTCTTAATAAACCCCCAAAAACAAGTGATTCCTTTGATCCCCACCCGAAAAAAAGAACTTGCAGAAAGCCAAGCTTTGAATGAAGCAACTATCTCACTGAGTTATGTCACTGGTCATCATCAACATTTATGGCATATTAAATTATAATATACACTTTGCTGATAAGTTCTGAGCGATCCGAATCGCATTCCAGCTGAGCCGGCATACAGTGTCGCAGCATTTGTGGGTTTCTAGGTCTCTCTTGAGTATATTTTTTTAGCTTTTTAGCGCCACATACAATATATGTGTATATATGTATATGGAAATCGGGGGAAACAATGTCGCGACATTGAGATACGGATACGCGAGTCGGAATGCCCGATGAGTAAGTGATGGGTGGATGGGTGACAGATGACGGGTGACCGGCAACGGGTGACGGTTAATGGGGCTATTATATAGTAATCTCGACTGAAAGGGTGTATATCTACATATCTATCTATATAGAGAAGGCACACTGTGTGCTGTGGTGTTACCTTCGTTCAAAGACGTATCATTCAGCGGCGTATCGAAATGTATGCGGGGCAGTGTCTTCGACTTGTACTCACCTGCAATGGAAATGGAAAGGAAAAATGGATAAGTTGTGTTAAATGCAAATTGACAAAGGTTAAAACAGTCTACAGATGTTGTTTTGCAAAAAAATCGACCCATTTACATGGTTTGACCTTTGAGTTGTGGCTGACCGAACGACCGACATCTTGTTATGAATTCGTTTCAATTAATGCAAAATATGAAATGGTGGCGCAAGATACAAAGATACAATTGCTACACTCAACAAAAAATGGAGATGAAAAGGAGATTTAAACTAAATGATTTAGAGTTTTGGTGTTGGGTTTATGTTTGGTAATAAATATAATAGCAGCACTCTTGGTGTCTTATTAACGGTTAACGGAAATGGTATAATAATATATAAAAAATCCAACATTATATTCTCCATTATCTATTATTTCCCATCTAAAAATATATAGAATATTTCATAGTGTAGACCAAAGCAAGTGCTGATATGGGGCAAGCTCATAAATTGAGCAATTGTTGTAGGTGACCTAGGACTGGACTTGCAGTCTCTGTCTGAGTCTGTGTCTGGGAACCGATTCCCATCTAAACCCATTATGTTTATTATTTCGTTGACACTTTCCCCGACACTAAGTTGCATTATCTTTTGCTTGCCGCGGGTCATCATCGGTTGTAACTGTGCAAACACAACTGTAAATTATGTCGCCGCACAATTGACTTCAAAGCCAAGTGACCGAACACCAACGACAATGATCTGAACAACGATCCAACTCAACGAATCCAACAATTCAAGTGATCCCAGAGATCCAACCAATCCCCGCGATGCGTTGATAATTGTGAATTCTCGATGATGTCACATCCGTCATCCATGAACAATGCGTACTCCTCTGATGACAGATGAATGTGGAGTTGAAAGAACTCAGATATATGTATGTTGGGAGTATCTGATCGAACATGGCACTTTTAATACTTGCAAAGCATGTTTAGTAGGAGTTTTTGGTGAAATTTCATAACTCCAATCCGACTAGAGTTAAATTAATTGAAATTATAAATTATATTTTCCTATGTATCCCCTTGAATATTGTATACCCTTGCTTCCCCTACTTACTCCTGCCCGCTGTTTCCAGCGTGGATGCACTCGAACCCGTTCCGGACACCCGCTCCTGGTCTCCCAATCCTACCAATCCTGAGTTCGATCCCGTTACCGATCCCTTGATCAGTTGCAGTTGCTCCTGCAGTGCTTGTG